ATAGTCCCTCCTTTTTCCAGCGAGGAGGAAGAGGGTGTTTTTTCCTCACACAACTCCTCTCCCGTCCAACCAGACCTAACCTCTGGATCACTATGATTGAGTTCCCACTTTCGGCAAGACATACAGCCATGGTATGGGCACCCATGGATGGCCCCACCTGTACCCTTCCTCACACAGTGGACATATTGGAACCCCTGGGCTTCCTACAGAAGGCATTGCAGCAGGCCCCCCAGTCCCTATAAGGAGGGGATCAGATTGCCGCTGGCACCCTCAGTGCCTGTAACGTCAGAGCCCCACAAGGAAACTGTCGCAGAACAGGAGGAGAGCCTAGAGCAAGACATCACGTCACATGCTAATAATTCCTCCTCTTCCCCCGACATAATACCTCCGCCACCTACAGTGCTGCCAACTTTAAGCAATTTCAAGAACTTTTTAAACGTGTGGCTGACAGATTAGAGATCCCTCTTGAGGAGGTCCAGGAGGCCCAACAGAAACTGGTGGACATCCTACAAGCCTCCTCAGCTTCCAAAATAGCGCTCCCGATTAATGATGCGCTAATGGAGCCGGCCAAAACAGTTGACACCCCCCAGGCAATATACCACTCACCTGCAAGAGGGCTGACAAAAAATATTATGTCCCTTCCAAGATATGAACTTCCTTTTTTCCCATCCTGTACCAAATTCACTCATTGTCAGTGCCATCAACCAGTGAGGTAGACAGCAACAGTACAGGTACACACCCACTGACAAAGGCTGGAAATGGCTAGACCTTTTTGGCCGCAAGGTCTATTCTTCATCAACCCTACAATTCTGTGTTGCCAACTATGTGGTATTACTAGCCAAATATGATTGCGACAACTATTCAAAATGAATGGATTTATTAATTTATTAATGATATTCCAAAGGACAAAAGGGATCAATTTAAAGCTCTCATGTCCAAAGGCCCGCTTGTGGCCAAAACTGCCTTACAGGTATCTTTAGACATGGCTGACACAGCAGCAAGGCCACCACGGTAGTCATGTACCAGGCTTTCTGGCTGCACTCCTTGGGATTTCCCAGGGAAATACAGTCCATGGTGGAGGACCTCCCGTTTGACTGCCAGAAAACTCTTCAGCGCCAACACGGACAAAGTCCTCCACATGATGACAGACTCACGAACGACCCTCTGAACGTTGGGAATTTATACACCTGCCACAAAGAGTAGATAAAACAGATACCAGCCCTACCAGTGCAACAGGTATGCCTCATATATCCAACATCAATGGCAGCACGAACCACAGAGGCAGAGACCACAGAGATGCCGACCACCATCACCAGCGTCTCAATATTCCTCCTCCAAGCAACAATTTTGAGGGCTTGGTCAAGGGTCTTAACAATCTTGCTCACTCTGTAGTGCTGATGACACCATTCATCTTCCATTTTGGGGACTGTCTGACTCCCTTTTATACAACGTGGTCTTCCATCACCGCCGACAAGTGAGTCCTAGAAAGCTCAACAAATTTGTGAGGGTCCAACTGTTCAGGGTCACACTAGCAACGATAATACCAGCGATAATACCAGCACCAGATAATACCAGATCCTACTCCCTGTGCACCGAAGCCATGAAACTGTGGAATTGGTGCATCCAACACAATATCAACATCTAAGCCTCCTATCTTCCAGCCTGTCAGAATACTACAGCAGACACATTAAGCAGAGAATTTTCTCACGATCACGAATGGGAACTAAACAACATGGTCCTGCAGAACATATTTCAACAATGGGGCCACCCATCTATCGAGCTCTTTCCGAGATCACAGAACTACAAGTGCCCACAATTCTGTCCTAGAGCAGGTCTGGGAACCCCAATCACTGGGGGGATGCCTTCCTCCTCAGATGGGAAGCACCACTTCTATACATGTTCCCACTGATACCACTACTATTGACAGTGATAAACAAGATACGTATGGACAAAGTGAAAGTCATTCTGATAGCCCCAACATGGCCCAGACAGACTTGGTAGTCTTACCTGATACGGATGTTGCTATGTACTCCACGCACTCTCCCACTCTAACTGGACCTTCTATCACAGAAGGACAGACAGGTCCACCATGCAAACCTCGAGAGACTTCACCAGAGGGTGTGGCTCCTACATGGTTCCATCATGAGGATCTAGCCTGTTCTGAACAGGTTAAACACGTATTACTAAACAGTAGGAGGTCAATCACGCACAAGACTTACCTTCAAAAATGGAAGAGGTTCGCCATATAGTGCCAAGCCAAGCACTTCACTTTGGTTTCCTCACCTCTACCATTGATTTTGGAGCTCCATCTTGGAGCTAAAAAACTCAGGACTATCCACTAGTTTGATCAAGGTACATCTGGCAGCTATTAATGCCTTCCATCACAAGATTGATGGGACGTCACTGTTTGCGCACCTGATTACCAAACGCTTCCTTACAGGCATTCAGAGCACTTATCCTGAATTATACGCTCCCACGCCGCCATGGGACTTGAATATGGTACTATGCTGCCTCAGCAAGGCCCCATTCGAACCCTTAATGACATGCTCTCTGATACATCTATCAATGAACGAAGCATTTTTAGTCGCTATTACATCAGCCCACCGTGGGGGTGAGTTAGGGGTTCTCGTGGCTCACCCACCTTATGCCTTTCATTCCCAAGGACATGGTCACCCTAAGACCACATCCGAGTGTCATACCTAAAATATCTTCATCCTTCCACATCAATCAATCAATCCATCTTCCTGTATTTTTTCACAAACCTCACGAGAGCAAACAGGACTCAGTACTACATACCCTGAATGTCAGACGTGCACTAGCTTTTATCTTGATAGAACTAAACCTTTCAGAAAATCCCCAAGGCTCTTCGTCTCCACTACCGAACATTCTAAAGGAGCCACGATCTCCACACACAGACTCTAAAAATGGACCTCAGGGTGTATTCACCTCTGTTACCAATGAAAGAACTAACAATCCCCATCCGGGATCAGAATTCACTCTGCTAGATCCATTGCTACCTCAGTAGCCTTTCTAAACAACGTACCACTCATAGACATATGTAGAGCTGCCACCTGAGCCTCTGAACATATGTTACCTGTGCAGTAACAGGTTCTTCAAGATATGTGTCCCTGTGGGTGCTCCACTACCCACTCTCCTCCTTTCTACATCAGAGTTCAATTTCTGGACTCTGCGGTAGAGAAGGAACTGAGGGGGTCGGGTCACCTGTGCACTAGAGGAGGCTCCAATGGTGCTGCAAGATGGAGACTGTGTATGCATGACCCAGACGAGCACTGCTGCTGAAATTCTCTGATCAAAGATGCAGGGACACACCAACACCAAAAGAGGAGCACCAACTGGGACACACATCTCGAAGAACCCCAATTACTGCACAAGGTGAGTAGTAACCTTCTCTAATGCAGAGTCTAGTTCTCCATTGCCTTACTCCTTTCTGTGGGAACAGTGCTGATTCATCAACACAAGAGATTTACCATGCAGCCATATCGTCAAATAGCATTGATAATTTATCTACCGTAGTTAATAACTGGTATCATTAGTAAAAATGGTTATAATTTTAAGAATGTTGAAATTTCACTGAAATTTCAAAATTTGAGAAATAAAATTGGGAGAAATGTTCAACAAAAAAATTTCAAACTTTCCGATCTGGTGTGTGTGTTTTTCTTCCAACTACAGAACTAGGCAGAAATTTTAATTTAAAAAAAATTGGGAACGCCTTTTGAAATGTTATTAATTCTCTCCCCCCTCTAATCATTAGTGCCTTCTTCAACATTCAAAAATGATTTGATTTGCAGGGGTGTCCCAGAGGTGACAGGGCCTCTGACCGACAGATTTATTATTATTTGTATTACAAAAGCACCTAGAACTTAGCCCCAGTCATGGCTGAAGCCACATTGTGCTAGGCACTGCAGAAACATATTTGGTTTCTCAATCAAATCATTTACAAACTAAGGCCCCACTCTGCTAACACTTTACACACATGCTTTGCTTTTCTCATATAAGGGGTCCTTTTGAAGTCAGTGGGACTACTCGCATGCTTAAAGTTACATGCAGGCACAAGTATTATCACCCTGTTTTTAGTGTTAGTAGACACTGGAGCCTGGCCTGTTTTCACATTCGAGAAGAATGTAGTGACATGAAGGCTGGGTATTTTCTTAGTGTAATTTGTTTATTTACACTGTATACACCAGTCCTGGTACAGAGGTGGTCACAACTGGCATGCAAACAAACCCCTCTTTCAGGAGTCTCAGCCCAAACACTATGTCTGGTTCCCAGGAAGCAACTCTGCCCCAAGATGTGACTCTAGTTACAGAAATTAAGGCAGAGAGCCAACTCCCCTGCTGGTGCAACAGCTCCCCCACAAAGAAACTACTGTATACCACAAAATAAACAATAATATAACATTTCTTCAAAGACTGACCAGTGCTCACACATTAGGAAAAAGAATGTATATGACTGTGTATAACAGCACCACCTGGTGACTCCTGATATAACAGTATTTATAGGATTGGGGGTCTAAATGGGGTCAAAACACATGAAGGGAGGGATGGGGAGAGGGAAGACAAGAGGGATGCTCATGGGAACACAAGGTGATATATATTAGCTAGATTAACAATTTGGTTTTTTAATGAAGTAAGCTATAGTGATGAGCAGGTCACTTGCCTGGCTGTTATTACTAGGCATGTCAGGTTACAGGGGGACCGTAAGACAGGATCTGAAGCGGGGCAGAGCAGTGGCTGTGTAGATTGATTTCGGGGGGGGGGGGGCATCCATGCATAAGGGACAGTGTGGGGAAAAAGTGTGAAGGTGTTTCTGGGAGAAATGGGTGAAAGAAGCTGCCATTGGTAAAGCTGCCCCTAGTGTTATATGAAGAGGAGTGAAACTCCCAGGTAAGGGGGCTGGGACGGGCTCCAGAGAAGAACAAGTTCCATTGTTATTTCTCACATTGGGGGGTTGATGATGTTTCTCCACATTGTCTCTTACAGGTTCCCCTCCATGTCCCCGGTGGCATCGCATCGCTGTAGGGGTCGGATGGGCTGGGAACATCGTCCTGACAATAGCTGTGATAGCTCTGGGGGTTTGGGGTGAGTAGCGCCAATCTGTTTATCCATTTGAGCTTAATGGTGCTCCATGAATTCTCTTCTCATTTCCAAATCCCACTGATATTCCATTCCTGAGTCCAGTCTGTTTATGAGTGAAATCCTAGACATTACATCACTACCCAGGTCAAAATATTACCAGAACAAGGTGCATTTAAAAGCTGGATGCATGAAACTTGTGTGATCCAACTCAGACAGGTTCACTGTTACATGTGGGTGGAGGACAGAAATGCACCAACATTGAGTAGTGAATAGGATTTTCTCTTCCTCTGTCTACCCTAGCTGTGATGGACACTACACAGATGATTTTACACCCTCCATAATTGTTTTTTTAATTCCTAAATAGCTGCAATAGAAGTGATTTTTTTTATTGATGCTGATGCTCTTTTGAAGTTTCCCAGTTGCATGTCTCTTGTGAAGGACAGACCAGAGGAACTCTGAATACGTCAGAGAATAATGAAACCAGATTCGTCAGTAGCACGGAATGTTCCTGCCTGGAGGATTTCCAGTCTCGCTTGAAACCAATTCTATGTGAACCCCACAATGGCAGCTTGGCAGGTAACCCCAGCTCCTACTGTCCCAGAGCCATGAGTCATTCTCCCTTAAAGAGTTTGCAGCACTCTCGCTGTGACTGAAAACCCAGTCACCATGTTAAAGGGACACTGTCTGCTTGAAATACAATGGACCAGTTTCTCTTTCATACTGAGGCCCCTTTATATACATTATTCCAGTGTTGTGATCCCCAAGCATTCAAAAACCATGAGTCAGGCCCTAAAAATCATGAGATTGGCTTATTTTAGGAAAATTATACATTTTGGGTTCTTTATGTTTCCCTTCTGGTTTCTGAGCCTTTAGGTTGCATTTGGGTCCTGCTGTCAAGCTTTTCTCTGCAATTATGAGGCTACAAACTTTCTGTAATGAAACTGAGATTCTCACATAATCCCCTGACTCCAGGAGCTGGGGCTTAAAAGAAAACACCAAACTTCACAAGACGTGTGATAAAAATATGAGTGATGGCAACATTGCCAAAGTGACAGTGTAAAGGGAGCTAACCATGGGAGTAAACTTTCATTTTTTTTTAGTCAAAGTGTTCAGGAAGCAGAAGGTTATCTCAACAACAACTAGAAAAGTTCAAATACAACAAGTTTTCTGTGAAGATTTTCATTTTGAAAAAAAGGCAATATTTTGTCAATCAACTCTCCTCATAACTACAGCAGGAAAACAATGTTCAGGGTGATTTTTAAGTAGATAAGGTGCTTTTCAATATGCTCTAATGCTCTAGGTGTGGTAGTGATGTACTATACACCCTAAGCTCCCCTGTCTTCTTTCTTTTCATCAAACCCAATAGGCTGGTGCAAGGTAAATGCAGTGACTGCCTCGTTCTGTACCAATATGGTTATTTCATTCTCCCTGTCATCCTGCTCCTCTTTGTGTATCTCCATCTGTTTCTCACCCTATGTTTGGATTGGTAGCTCTTTGGGGCAGAGATTGTCTTACTGTGGGTATGTGCAGCACCTAGCACAATGGGGCCCATATTCATTTTTGTGGCCTCTGTTCTACTGTAATACTAATCACTGATTTGTATTGCAGCAGTGCCCAAAGGCCCAGTTATGGATCAGGGCCCCATTGTGCCAGATGCTGTTAAAAAAAATCATAAAAAGACAGTCCCTGACCCAAAGAGCTTACAGTTTAAGTACAGTAAATAATAATTCTCAGCAGTTTATGCAGAGGAGCAGCAGTGACATCTAGTGGTCAGAGTAATTCCCATTGCTAGAACACAGGTAGTTTTAATAATAATGTAATACAACTGCTATAGAGGTTGGATCACAAAGTGTTTTACAAACTCTGTAGGACTCACAGGAATCATTTCCCCCACTACTGAAATGCAGCCACCTCTGGGGTGAAACTCAACAGCTGTTCAGCAGCACACAACACTGCTTTACAATGTGTAAGGGAAACGACTGAAGAAGAATCGCATAGCCTGTGGGAAATGCAGGAGGTGTTTTAGGGAGTCAAATTGAAGTCACCCCAGGCTGGAATTTGAACAGGTTCAGACCCCCCCAGTATTCAAGAAGAGTCAGATGACTGGAAGGTAGCTAATGTAATGCCCATTTTTAAAAAGAGCTCCAGAGGTGATCCTGGCAATTACAGGCTGGTGAACCTGACTTGAGTACTGGGCAAATTCACTATCGTTTCTACCAAGAACAGAATGATCAGACACATCGCTGAACACGATTGTTGGGGAAGAGTCAACATGGCTTTTTGTCAAGGGAGTTCTTCAAGGGAGTCAACAAGCATGTGGATAGGGGTGATCCAGTGGCTATAGCGCACTTGGATTTTCTGAAAGCCTTTGACAAGGTCCCTCACCAAAGGCTCTGAAGATAACTAAGTAGCCAGGGATAAAAGAGAAGGTCCTCTCATGGATCAGTAACTGGGTGAAAGATAGGAAACAAAGGGTAGGAATAAATGGTCCATTTTCACAGTGGAGAGAGGTAAATAGTGGGGTCCCCCAAGGATCTGTACTGGGACCAGAGCTGTTGAACATATTCATTAATGATCTGGGAAAAGGGCGTGAATAGTGAAGTGGCAAAGTTTGTAGATGATACAAAATTATTCAAGATTGTTAAGTCCAAAGCTGAGGGTGAGGAGTTACCGAGGGATCTCTCACAACTGCGTGAACTGGCAACAAATGGCAGATGAAATTCAACATTGATAAGTGCAAGGTAATGCACAGTGGAGAAAAAATAATCCCAACTATACGCACGCAAAGATGGGTTCTACATTAGCTATTACCACGCAAAAAAGAGATCTTGGAGTCACGGTGGATAGTTCAATGAAAGCTTCTTCTCAATATGCAGTCGTGGCCAATAAGGCTAACAGTATGTTAGGAACTATTAGGAAAGGGATAGAAAATAAGACAGAAAATATCACAGTGCCTCTATATAAATCCATGGTGCACCCACACCTTGAATACTGTGTCCAGTTCTGGTCACCCCATCTCAAAAAGGATGTAGTGGAACTGGAAATGGTTCAGAGAAGGGCAACAAAGATGATCAATGGTATGGAATAGCTTCCATACAAGGAAACACTAAAAAGATTAGGGCTGTTCGGCTTAGAAAAGAGACAACGAAGGGGGGATATAATAGGACATGAATGGTGTGGAAAAAGTGAATAGAGAAGTGTTATTTACCCTACCCACAATACAAAAACCAGGGGTCACCCAATGAAATTAATAGGCAGCAGGTTCAATACAATGAGAGGAAGTACTTTTTCACACCATGCATAACTAACCTGTGGAACTCGTTGCCATAGGATGTTGTGATGGTCAAAAGTATAACTGGGTTCAAAACAGAAATAGATCCATCAAAGGCTATTAGCTAAGATGGTCAGGAATACAATGCTAGGATTGGAGGATTGCTGAACCTCTGATTACCAGAAGCTGGGAGTGGAAGATGGGTGGATCGCTCCATAATTGCCCTGTTCTGTACACTCCCCTGAAGGTCTGGTATGGGCAGGGCCGGCTCCAGGCACCAGCCCACCAAGCTTGTGCTTGGGGCGGCACCTGGAGGGGGGCGGCGCCGTGCTCCGGCTCCGGCCGCCGGGGAGAGCGGAACCCCGGCCGGGGTCGCCGCCCTCCCCCCATCGCTCCGGCCGGTTGGGGAGAGCGGCCCGCGGCCGGGCTCGGCGCCCTCCCCTGCCGCGCTGGGGGGCGGCAGGAGGCTTTTTTGCCTTGGGCGGCAAAAAGCCAGAGCTGGCCCTGGGTACGGGCCCTTTGTAAGAGACAGTATACTGAGCAATACAGACAGTGGTCTGACCCAATATGGCAGCTCTTAATGATCCCAAGTGGACCTTGCTTTTAGTTCTCAGCTGAACCATGGCACTAGTAGTGGTACAGCGCCCCCTACTGCCAGACTGGGGCACTGGATTCAGTTCTGCCTTAGTAGGTGGTGTCCCTCATTCTTAGTCATCAATATTATTTGTTTCAACACTCAGTTTCCTTTGAAGTCTCCCATTGGGGAACAGGTTGGGCCTGTGTCTGTTCAGCTTTTATGATCTGACATGGTCGGATCCCCAGAAACTACATTTTACTGCACCAAGCCTGACAATCCCACCCAATGATTCCTGCATAGAGCCCAGAACTTGTGACTGAGTTAGAGCAGATCTTTAGTAAGAGACCAACTCTGTGTAAAGACTTCAAGCGAATTCACTCCTCTCTGGCCTCCCGGCTCTGCCAGCACCTTGCTGTCCTGACCTACAGCATGCCCGGCTGCTTGAGTGCTGACCTTGAGAAAAGCCCTCACTAGTACACTGAGTCTGAAGGCTTTTTACATGGCTGTAGGGGAAAACTTAAGCAATATCTAAAACTAGAGCTGATACATTGTAAACCTAGTTCATGAAAAACATGAAAAGAAATGACAGTTTGATGTCCTTTGAAGGAAGTAAAAAAGTGAAAGTCCTCCCTCTCTTTCCCAGTGGGGGGAAATGTTAAGAGTAAATGTTTATTTCTCCTCCAAAACTGAATGAAATCCTCCATCTCCCCCCGCTCCAAAAATCAGTATTTACATTGAGTCCCTTTTCCCCATCAAAAAATGAAAAATGTAAACAATAAACACTTTTATTCTGGTCAAAATGGCATTTTCCATTAAAAAAGAACTTTGAACAGGAGTTTTCACCCAGCCGTAGTTTGCATTTTCAGAATGGATGACACCTCTGTTCCCATCTCTCCCTCCAGGGGGCTCCAGGTGCAAACTCTGCCCCAGGGACTGGCGGCTGCATGGGGACAAGTGCTACTGGCTGTCTCAGGAGCGTAAAGACTGGACTGGGAGCCGTGACGACTGCTCGGGGAAAAGCGCTCACATGCTCGTGATTCAGAACCAAGAGGAGATGGTAACAAAATATAGAATCATAAAACTCCAGCTGGAGAGAGACGTGTGTCACTAGTTACAACCCCAGAGCAGCAGGTTTATCCAGCCTGGCTCTACCCCGCTGCCTCATTCCTCCTGTTCCCCCAGTTAACCAAACTCCACACTGTGGGGGTTTCTCCCCTTCGGGGCGTCTGGCTGATTAACATACGGTTCAGAACAAGACCCCCACAGCGTTCCCACCCCAGACTGCCCAGCTGGCTCCTCCAGGCTCTGCCCCCCTGAGCCCTGTCTGAGAGCTCAGCAGAGCCGTTCTGCATAGAGCTACGCACACAACCCCCTGCTCCATCACATCTCGCCCTGCCCAGACTGACCTCGGGCTGCCCTTGTAGCCCCACCAGGCCTGGCTCCTGGTCACCTGCTTCCCTCACCTGAACCTCCCAGTCCAGGGCACCTAGTCACGGGTGAGGCTGAACCCAGGACTTATGTAAAGGGCCAGCTCACCCTGTGACACCAAGGACTGGTACTGGTGTTACCATGTCTGCACAGGGAGAGCCACATTTCCCACCCCTGCACTGGGACCCCACTCGCCCAGGGGAGAGGGCGAGTTAGCTCCGGTGCTGGGGGTTCTCCAGCTGGCATGGGCAGAGCCACTGAAGCCAAGAGCAGGTAATAAACAGGAGTGCTCAGGGAGTTGTAGCCTGTTACGGCACATTCACCCCCCTCCCCTCTGCTTTGCACCTCACAGGATTCCATACAGGATGTTGTACAAGATGCAAATTCCATCTGGATTGGACTTAAAGTGACACCCCCAGGGAAGAATTGGACCTGGGTGGACGGTTCCCCATTAGATCCAATGCTGTAAGTGCTGGCCGAGGTTTACTGTTTGAGAGATGTTTGAGAAAAGCTCCATTGTATAACTTGCTGATGTTAAATGTTCGTCTGCTTAAGGCCTAAACGTTTTACCAGGTTAGCTACATGGGTTAAGGATTTTTTCCCTAACATAGGGGTGCCAGCAAAGGCCCTAGTGTAGCTGCAATTATACCAATGTGCTTGTGCATATAGCAGTGTAGCTTATGCTGATCGGGGGCACTGGCATAAGCGGTAGTGGTAGAAACACTTAGCAATGGATATAGCTGTGTCCACACTAGAGGGTTTCCAGTATGACTGTACCAGAAACACCTCCTAGTGTAGACAGGGGCTAAGGTGCTTATCTAGCCCTCCGTTACCATAGTATCTGAGCACCTCACAACGCTGAGGGGAGAAGCTCTCCTGGCCGTGGAGGAGTGTCTTCACTTAAGTGCTACAGTGGCGCAGCTGCACTGGTGCAACGTTTTACAAGTTAGACCAGCCCTGCAAGTGTGTCCCAGTGCGGCGCTGCAATGTGGACACTTTCTACAGTGATGGAAGTGAGTTTGGTTTCTTTAGGAAATCCACCCCCTTGAGAGGCGGTAGCTAGATCGATGGACTTGGTCCAGTGAAAGCCATCACCTCACCCACCTTGTCTCTCTAACATCCTGGGACCGACAGAGCTACAACTACACTGCACACAACCACTGTCAGTATGGCAGGCTTCCTGCTTCGAATGTACTTTTAAAAAAAAGGGATAGTTTTTGCATCTTTAGCAAGTTGTTTCTCAAACTCTTCCTTGTCCTGTCTCCTTAAACATTTACAATTCACTTGCCAGAGTTTGTGCTCCTTCCTATTTTCCTCATTAGGATTTGTCGTGTAAATTTTAAAGGATGCCTTTTGCCTCTAATGGCCTCCATTATTCTGCTGTTTAGCCAGGGTGGCATTTGTCTGGTCCTCTTCCAGTCTTTTTTTGTTTGGGGTACACACATAGCCCTGGTCTACACTACAGGCTTACATTGGTATAACTATGCTGCTCAGGGGTGGGAAAAATCCACCCCGAGTGACGCAATTATACCGACCTAAACACTGGGTGTAGACAGCGCCGTATTGATGGGGAGGCTTCTCCTGTCGACACAGCTACTGCCTGTTGGGGAGATGGATTATCTACGCTGATGGGAGAGTATCAGTTTAGGTAGCATCTTCACTGTGGCACTGTAAGTGTAGACAAGCCCTTAGCCTGAGCCTCTGATGGTGTTTTTAAGTAGGCTCCATGCTGCAAGGAGGCATTTTACCCTGGTGACAGCTCTGTGCAATTTCCATCCGACACGCATCCTGCTGCTCGTGTGGTTCCCCTTTCTGAAGTGAAATGTGACTATTGTGGGCTGGTTTGGTATTATGTCCCCTCCAGGGAGGCTAAATGTCATTACCCTGTGGTCAGTGTTACGGGGCAGTTCAGCTCCATTCACCTCTTGGAGCAGATCCTGTGCTCCACTGAGGATTAAATCAGGAATTGCCTCTCCCCTTGTGGGTGCCAGGCCCAGCTGCTCCAAGCAGCCATCACTGATGGGGGCTAGAAATCATCTCTCTGCATCATGCCCTGAGGTGACATTTAGTCCCTCTGCTCCAATCGCTCTTTAAAATAATTAATTCACACTAGAGACTGAGACCAGGCCGACCACACACACCTCAGACTAGCCCATAGCTCAATGTTCGAGGCTGCTCCTAAGAGATGGGAGACCCCTGTTCAAAACCTCTCTCCCCTGCAGGCAAAAGGGGGACTTGAACTGGGGTCTCCCACTTTCCAGGTGAGTGCCCCAACCCCTGGGTTTGCTGCTCCCTGCTATTTTGTGGGAGCTCATCTGTGGGAGCCAAGCTGGTAAGTGGCCTTTGAACATGCTGACTGGCTCAGGGCCTGCAGGCACATTAGGTGGAGGAACGCCTGTCTGCCACTGACTCACGTATCACACACGGGGCTTAGGCAGCCAGCAGCAGAGGGAGGCAGCAGCGGGTGGGCTGAGTGACAGAGACACAGGTACCTAGGAAACTTTTATTCTGAATATTAAGGCACCGAGCAGTTCAGTCACCTCCAGGGTTTGTGAATCCCAGGGGGACGTGGTTCTGGGATGTAAGTGTCTAAAGTGGCCACTAGACTCTCAAGTCCCTTTGTGAACCCAGCCCCAACCATTCATCCGGACAAGTCCTCAGGCCGTCTGCAGCCCTCTATTACCCAGGTTACACGGCGCAGGTTTCCTCCCTCCCAAGACTCAGACTGTTTTTAAAAGGAAAGCCGAGATGTGGGAGCTCAGGGTGGCCACTTCCAACAAGTTTCAGAGCAGCAGCCGTGTTAGTCTGTATCCGCAAAAAGAACAGGAGTACTTGTGGCACCTTAGAGACTAACAAATTTATTAGAGCATAAGCTTTCGTGGACTACAGCCCACTTGCATCCGAAGAAGTGGGCTGTAGTCCACGAAAGCTTATGCACTTCCAACAAGAAAGTGTCAGGTCACCAACCCCATGAGATTCAGCCTACTTCGCTCCTTGCCAGAGACCCCCTAACTCAGCTCACATTCGACTGACACTTTGTAGGAAAGTTATAGAGATGAAGGACAACATCAGAGACAAGCTTCCCATTAGGGGGAGGGGGAGGAAAGACTCACCTCTGGGCCCTTCCTTGCTACAGGGAACATAATGACACTGATGCTCTTTAATTCTGCAGCGTCTCGGTCTCTGCTGAAGGGAACAGCTGTGGCTGGATAGGAGATAGACGGATTCAGTCTGAGACGTGTGGTGCTGAGTTCAAATGGATCTGCCAGAAAGAAGCTGCCGTGATATAAACAGTGGAGTGGAGGGTCTGTATTTGCATCTCTGTAACACGCAGTATCCTGCATTTAGGCTCACGGGGCTGGATTGTAGTTTTAGGCAGAGCTCTAAGCCGGGGGCAGAGCAGAACCCTGGGAGGTGCCGGGACTTAGGTGCCCCTCGCTGTCAGTTCCTCCCCTCGGTCCTTCTCATTGGGCTGGGGCCTTGGGGTATAATTTATAACTGCCCCAAACCTGCAGTAAGTTACTCCCTGTGCTGCTTCCCGGGGTACCCAGGGCTGGGAGGCACCTCGTCACGACCTGCGTTTTGCCTGAGGGACCCTTGTCTGTGCCTGCCGGGGGTCAGCTCCCCAATCCCACAGGCCACACGCACTCGCTCCTGGGCCTGCAGTCAGCAATAGGCCCACTCTGCCCTCAAGCCCTCTGAGCATCCCTCTGGTGCATCTGTCCCCTGGACACTGGCAGTAATCACAAAGCTGCTGCTTCCAAGGGAACAGGAATGCCTCCGCCCCCACCTCCCAGCTTACCAGTTCCACCTCAGATCTCTGCTCCACTTAACACACAGCGCTGACCTATGCTCATAGTGAAATCATGCGTCAGTTCAACAAAGCCGAGAGTCAAGTAGAAGCGTTGGAAAGAACCGGTTACATATAAAATAAAGTCATAACATGCGTTCTAGAGCCTAGACTTGTTTAACAAGATACTCTCCTGTCTAACCACGTACAGCTCACCCAAAATCCTTGCAGGGCTTCACAGCCAGCCTGGCTGTGACCTTTCTTTCACAAGACGTGCGGTCAGTTTGCCTCAGGTGAGGGATCCAGTGTGTCTCTCTGCATACCAGGATAGACCAGACTAACCCCTTGTCTTTGTTCTTAAACAGGACACAGCCCTGCTGTTTGCAAAGTCCACAAAAGAGGGAATTTACAGGAAGAAACAATCTCTCAATTTGCACCTGGTTCACTATGCAAATAGGCATCCAGCTACAGGTACACACAACATACAGCTGACTAGACAGGGAGATAACCTCAGTTACCACCTGCCTGAAAAGAACATTTGAGGTACATCATCTTCTGGTGACCTGCCTTAACTGCAAGACCTTAAGGGCATCATTCCACTTTAATTGAATTGTCTTGTTAGCACTGGCCCTCCACATGGTAAGGCAACTCCCATCTTTTAATGTACTGTGTAGACATACCTGCTACTGTATTTTCTATTCCATGCATCTGATGAAGTGGGTTTTAGCCCATGAAAGCTTATACCCAAATAAATCTGTTAGTCTCTAAGGTGCCACAAGTACCCCTCATTTTTATTGTCAGTATAGATAGGTAAGGAACTATGTATTATCCATACACACGTCTTGCAATGATTATGACCACCAGTGGGCTACTGGCTCTCACGTGCCACCTTTTGGTGAACTATTATGTAACCATCAGCGTCAGGGGATCCCTGTGAACCCTCTGCACCCCCTGTACTCTCTGCCAAGGGGTCTCTGGTTCACATACACCTTGCCCCCAAACCCCTTCTCTGGGCTGGCTCAGCTCCTCTGTCCTGTAAGGAGGGAACTGGAGCCAAGGCCCTACTATACAGCTGTCTGCAGTGTGTTGAGAGTGCGCGTGCCAACCTCAGGGCAGACTGCTTGGAACCAGGCACAAACCCCAAACTGGCTGAGAGTTCTAGACTCAGATTTCACCAACCAACGATCTAGTGCAGAGGTTCTCAAATTGTGATCCACGGATCACCAGAGGTCTACAAGCTCCATTCAGGTGGTCCACGGATAGTTCCCTCTAAGGTGTGCGCCTGGGTGGCTGCACACAAGAAAATGAAGAGTCAACCACCTAATTAGTGGAGCCACACAGGTTTGGCTCCACTAATTAGGTGCCTGGACCCTGGAGAAGACGCACATGTAAGTTGAGGTAGTGGCCTTGGGGGGGGGAGAAATACGGGGTAGGTGGGAGGGGACAGTGGGGTGAGAAGAGGGGGTGGGGGAATTTGGGATGTGCAGGGCTGCGGTGGCCAGAGAAAGAGGTGACTTTCCCCAGCTCCAGGGAGAGACAACCCTCCTTCCCAGCCCCAGCTCAGGGGTTGCCACGGCAGGCACATCCATCGCATTAGAAAGGTTAAGACTACGGATATTAAAATATGAGTTGTGTGCTTTTATTTGTAGAACAAAAAAATTTTAATTAATTTTTTTTAATAGTGCTTTTATCCAAAGCGCTTTACAATAATTAGCTAATGGTACAAACAATATTTGGAAAGATCATTAAGTGGGCCACCAAGACCCTTAGCAATTTTCAAGTGGTCTGCGGGGAAAAAAAAAAGTTTGGAACCACTGATCTAGTGTAAACTCAGGCACTGTAACAGACTAACCATGGAGTCCCCTTGTGTACTCCGCTGAGCCTGCCTTTGACTGATTGTTCCTTACAGCCAGAATCACAGCAGTATTCAGGTTACTCCCCATCCAAAAAGCGCTTACCCAGGTCAATTACATCTTAGATATCAGACCAAAGACAATGTTTGTCCTATAATAAACTTGATACAATGTATCAAAAAGGAGAGGAGTTATTTACATATATACACAACTAAGCTAGAACCTTAAGTTTCACAAGGTAACAAACATCTATAGCAGTGACGCTCAATGATTCAGAAGCCAAATTAGCGACTAACATTTGTACCCAAAAGAGCCACAGTAGTGTGAATCTATTGTTTCATTCGCTATAGTACTATCCATATTTAAACAGGGAGTCCAAGTAGCACAGAGATACAATTATTTCTTGTTCAGGGTTTGCATCCCACCTCCTCCCTTGTGCTCTGAGCTGCTGGAGATCAGCACTTCACACTCCTTAATGCCCCTCTCCCCTCTGGTGAGTTACATGGTCAGAGGCGCCCAGTACAAACGTACAATGGTGGATATGGCTGTCAGAAGTGAGATTAATGCTGCAGCAGCTCACAAGCATTCACTAAAGTCTAAGCACATTCTTAGAATGTTAATACGTATTTTGACACACAGGTGAGCCAGCCTGACCCCAGCTGGATATTTGTCAGTGTCCCACTGAGACATGGGGACTTTGGCATCAGCTGGCACCTGGTCTGTGTGCGTCACACCTACCCCCTCCCTGCTCCTTCTACCCATTGGGCTCCAGGAAGTGAGAACACAGACATTTCTCCTCTCTCCTACATACCAGGCACTAGGTGTCCCATGAGTAAGACTGCGTGTCTTTCACAGAGGTCATGGAAGTCATCGATTATGTGACTTTGTGACTTCTGCAGTAGCTCGGTGTGGCTGACCCCAGGGCCACCCAAACAGCTGGGGCAGCCCCGGGGCCAGCCACACCGGCCACTGCTCGGGCGGTCCCAGGCAAGCGCTCCAGAAGCGTTAGCAGGGCCCCTAGCTGCACCCCCAGCAAATATTTTAAAAGGTTACATAGATAATTTTCTTGGTGCTCAGAGCAATCCCTGTTATTCCGGAATTTGTCTGATGTGATGGTCAGCAGAGATCAGTCAGGTTTTTTCAGGGCTAATTTCCACAATACTCTTTATCAGCCCCCGTCGCCTCTGTAAATGCATAAGGTTTGCTGCAGATCCAATGTCTCTCACTGGTGCATCGCAAGCTGCTGACCCTATTCTCATCATTCAGATACGCGCAGTCACCATCTGCTGTTATTGGAAACCTGCAAGACAGAAGCCAGGGAGCTGGTGTCAGGAGTTGGACGTTTCCCATCAGTCACAGACAGGGGGAGACACTCGCACAGTGCAGGGAGCTGCTGCACTCACAGGCCCTCACGATTCCCCCTCCTGCACCAGCCACAGGCCCCACCCCCAGCCCCCCAGCAGAAGGGGGCCGCAGGACAGCAGGGCCAGGAGAGGTTTTAAGATCAACTGGCCTCCATGGAACATTTATGCCGGGGGGATATTTTAACCCCAGTTCCTGCTCCCCCCACACCCCCAGCTGAGTTTGGATGGGCCCCTGCAGGCCCAACCCACCAGATTCCAGGGGAGTGTCAGCATAAGGAGCAGCGGTAACACCGCACAGAAGAGCTGGGTCAAAGAGACTCACAGGTTGTTGAATTCGGTGCCATTGGCCCATTTCCAGGGCTGCCCCAGGTCCCTCCGGAGGCCGATCCAGTGGTCAAATTTGCTTTTATAGCGCAGCATGAAAACCTAAAAACAACAGCAGAGGGAGAGGTGGTGTCAGAGCCCGACCCTGCTGCTCCCCCAGGTTCCGTGCAGGGAATCCCAGTTATACACGGAAGGGCTCTGAGTGTTTCCAGGGGGTGGCTGGGGATTTTCGCCTTCCCCTTACACAGCTCTGGGTAATTCAGTATTAACCCTCCCACCCCAAACCAAGCCCCCCCCCTCACCCCAATCTGCCCTGGGCTGGGGCAGCTTTTGGGTGCGGCTGGGTCTAAGATGCCCCCCGCACTCCATGCAAGGCCAGGTTCTGTGAAAGCCCCATCTCCTTACAGAGCAGCTGAGCTCCCCTCACCATCGCAGGGGAATGGGAAGGAGAAGGAAAGAGCCCAGCCAATCTGAATAAGAGATGCTGGGAGGGGCCAGGGATGAGAAAAGCCCCCCCACCTCACCCCACCCAGCTGCCCTTTCACCTACCCAGGAACACTGGCTCTGCAATTCAAGCTGGGATCTCAGTCCCCCTCCAGCCCCATGCAGCCCAACAGGCCAGTAGACACCTGCGCCAGCCCAGCCCTAGAGAGGGCTGAGAGTGGGTGATCCCTGCAGTCACACATTGACACTAGAGGAGGCCTGGGCCCAGCCAGGCCTGGCATTCAGCAGCTGGAAGTCCAATCGCTCTGGTCTCCCAACACGAGAGGGCTCAGAGCTGCTCCTCGCCTCACAGGGAAGAGCCCAGGTCCTACTGTAGCAGCAGCCACTGCTGTGCTAAGGCCAGGCCATTGCAGTGAGAGTCTCTCACCAGGTCCTGCAGGGTGTCGATTGCAGCCAGGGAGGCACAGAGGGAGGAGCAGTGTGTCTGGCTGTGGTTCCAGTTCCCTTTGGCCTCCGAGAAATAGTAGCATTTCCCTCGGTACCCGATCCAGCCATCTGCGCATGCAGGGAACCAGGGGCCCAGAGCAGCTGAAGAACGTCTATATAACAACACTGAAATGAGACAATAACACGTGGTGTAAGAGGGGATCGGCCCGTCTGTGGGGAGAGATGAGCCCCAGCGCCCCAGGCTTTGAGATTCCCCTGACCCCTGGCAGCTGCTGGGAGGGTGCTCAGGAGCCAGGACCCTGGGAATCCAGCCCCAAAGAGGGATTATCTAAGTCTGGTCTCACTGGGCCACCGTCTCGGGTTCACGTTCAACAGGGATGCAGCTGACAAACAGCTCGTGATTTAAAGCGCAGAGAACCAGGCCCAAGCTCAGTGTTACAGCAGGCGGTGGGCAGGGAGCTGCAGAGGGAGGGGACAGTTAGCAGGGGGCCAGCAGGGGGAAGAAGAGTGACACTGGATAAGTTACTTGTGAAGTAACTCCCTGCTCTCCATGTGTCAGTATATAATGCCTGCATCTGTAACTTTCACTCTATGCATCCGAAGAAGTGAGGTTTTTACCCACGAAAGCTTATGCCCAAATAAATCTGTTAGTCTTTAAGGTGCCACCAGACTCCTTGTTGTTTTTGTAGATACAGACTAACACGGCTACCCCCTGATACTTGACACCATGCAAGGCACTAAATTTAGCCGTATGGAGTGGAAATCCATAAACCTCAACAAAAAACTTGCACAGATACAGACATCATCTTCCTCTCCAAATGCAAACAGATGGACATCATACCAAAAGGACTAAAGGTAAAAAATCCATTGCAATCAACATACTACACTGAGTCTGGTGAGAGACTGTGCCACACACACTCAAAGAAACTGAGGAACCACCTGATCAGGATCCTGTACAGCAGACAGGAGAAGATCAAGAATGAGCTCTCAGAACTGGAGACTCTCATACAATACCAGCCTTCCACACAAACTTCCACGTGGCTGGACTTTACAAAAATGAGACAAGCCATTTACAATGCACACTTCACTTCTCTACAGAGGAAAAAGGACTGTACGCTATCTAAACTAATACCTGCCACTGGGGGCTATAACAATGGTACCCTCAACTCATCTAACAACATTGTCAATCTTTCCAACCACACACTTAGCCCAGCAGAAGAGTCTGTCCTATCTCGGGGACTCTCTTTCTGTCCCACCGTCCCCACGAACATGATACAGTTCTGCGGTGATCTGGAAGCCTACTTTGCATTCATAAAACTACAATACCCACCTGGGGAAGTGAGGAAACAGATTGACAGAGCAAGACGG